CCTCAGGCAACCAATTTGTTTTATGTACTAATATCGTAATAAAATATTACTATGTTAACCACTTCCTGGTGGCTGAAGACTTACACCGAATGCGTATTCGGGAAAAAAAATGTCCCCGAGAAAATGTTTTTTTCCGACAATCGATATTCGAGATGTTGCACAAATTATGCTGCACTGTGTAAGAACTTGCATCCTTTGATCTGAAGATTGTAGATGGAAAAGTAAACCTGCATTTTCGTATATCATCCCGCAATTTGTGATTAATGACAATGACTGTTGAAATAATATGGGTTGAGGAACGGAAGATTTATGTTCGTCATGTGACTGGACAATTCCACCCCCGTCCCACCCTGACGATGATCCCTTCCGGAGCGACGCGGCGGGCACAATTTACTCTTCTAAGTTTTCCGGTAGCTTTTGGACCAGGTGAGCGCTGATGAAATAAGTTCATTAACATACAATTTCTCTCAAAAAAAAAATTCAAATTTTTTTTCCAGTATTTTTCTCTGTAAAATTATTTTCTACGGAATGTTTTTTTGTAAAACCAAATTTTCGGAAAAATTCGACTTTTTTTGGGTGACAGAAATTTTTTTTCGTCAAAAAAATTTTGGAGAAAATGAAATAGGAAATTTTTTTTTTTTTTTTTTGGGGGGGGGGGGGCTATTTGTAAAACGAAAATCGTAATGACCTTGACCTTCCTTCATCGGCGCTCACTTGGTCCAAAACCGCACACAGAGGACCAGGCTTCGGTTTACCTATTTAGGGTGTTTTCCGGTATTCAGGATGTTTTCCGGTATTTAGTGTTTTTCCGGTGTTTTCCGGTATTCAGTATAAAATGGTGTTTTCCGGTTGTTTTCCGTTGTTTTCCGGTTGTTTTCCGGTGTTTTCCGGTATATAGTATTGCCGCGTTAGGACTTAAAGCTATTGAATACTGGATACATAATTTTCCAGAAGAGATACCAGATCGTTTCACAGAATCTTTTATACTCAACGCACTTGATCTGGTCATATCCAATAATGTATTTTATTTTGATAGCCTATACTATAGGCAAGTAAAAGGTGTTGCCATGGGAACGAAAGTAGGGCCTACGTATGCTAGTCTGTCCTTAGGATATTTAGAGGAAATTTGGTACACCAAACTAGATATAACTTTTGGTGCCACCTTTTGTAACTATAAAAAACTTCACTTGAAAAGATTTCTAGATGATTGTTTTTTTTATATTAAAGCAAAACGAACAAACTATAACAATACTGCTTGATTTACTAAACTTGTTAGACCAAAGTATAAAGTTTACAATCGAACAAAGTAATATATCTTTAAACTTCCTGGATGTAACAGTCAAATTATCAGCAGGAGGTACAATAGAAACAGATTTATTCTTTAAAAGTACAGATACACACCAGTACCTAAATTTCAAATCTTGTCATCCACCCCATACAAAACGAAACATCCCGTTTAGTCTAGCTAGAAGAGTGTGCACAATTGTATCGAACCATCAAACTAAACTCGTCGGACTAAACGAATTGAAAGGTTATCTACTTCGACAGAATTATCCGATTAAACTGATTTTGGAGGGAAACCAAAAGGCCCTCTCCCTTGATCAGACAAAACTAAGAGAACCGAAAATTTACCAAAATGTTTCAACTAATAAGGAAATAGCGTTAGTTACAACTATCAATCCATCACAATATATGACAAACACCGTCATATTCTTCAAAATAGTAAAATAATGAGCCAAATTATTAATCAAGCCACAATAATTAACAGTCTTAAACAACCACATAGTTTACGAACAATGTTGACATCTTCAAAAATTGATTCCATATCATCTACACCCACAGTTTCTAAATGTAATGATACTCGGTGTTTAACATGTAATGATATTATCGAAGGGTCGTCTATCACTGTCACAAATCATCAAATATTTACAGTCAAATAAAATATGAATTGTAAATCAAATAAGGGTAGATACATAGGCAAAACAGAATTGCAATTAAGTAGACGAATGAACCTCCATCGTTCACAAATTAAAAACGCAGAAAATAGAACTATTCCTTTAAGCGAACATCTAGATCGTTGTGGCAGAGGTGGATACACTGTATAAATTAAATGTTGCAAATCAAGCGCTATTAGAAATAAAAGAAAGCATATTTATACGGAAATACAATCCCGAACTTAATGTTAAAGTTTAACTGATGTAGTTTATAATTATAAATATATTTCATTACAAATGTATATTTCATTGTATATTTAACTAAATTTGAACTTAAATTGTTATTATTAACAGTAGTATACTCAACGTATTGTAAACGTCGGATGTGACGTCTTTCTATTGTTATTATTTGTGTTTATATAGTTACGCTATCATATTAAAGTCTGAAGAGGTTCCGATGGAACTGAAAGCGCTAGCTTGAAATATGTAGTGTGTTTTCTTTTCAAACATCTTATTTATTTATATATCACCTGAGAGCTGTTTCCACAACTTTTTGTATATATATATATATCAATTCATCTATCACACGGACCGGATTTTGTGTATCTAAATGCCTGGATCTTCGATGCAAATGTTGCGACCATATTACGCCAAATAACAAATATAATTTTCTTAAGTTTACATTTAATGTCAACGACAATATGAACTGTGACACAAAAAATCTCATATATGTCTTGACTTGCAATGGGTGTCTAAATTTTTACATAGGGGAGACATCCACGCATCTACGGGATAGAGTACGCAACCACCGACGGGATTGTAATATTGAAAATGGACCTTTATTTGTAAATAGACATATCTTTAAATGTGCACAACACCTACAAGTAAAATTCCAAATTTTCCCTTTTTATAAAATGAAAGTCGATGACACCACGAAAAGGAAATTATTGGAAAACCATTTTATTAAAAAATATGTTCCTCGACTTAATAGTCAATAAGTAACAATTGGTCATTAGCTTCATTAATTTTCTTACATCTATCCCATAATTATCTTCCACCCATTGTTCATAAATTGAACCCATATACTACAGATTAACACACGTGTGTACATGTTTTCTATTAGTTAACGATATACTATGTAACCATAGACAATGGTAAATATAGCCAATTCAAACCACAGTGTTACTGTGTAAATATGTATAAATATACTATACTGTCAATCTTATACAATGACATTATTTATGAATAGTCCCAAGACGGACGAAAAGTACTTTAAAGGGACAATAACACTCTTGCTGGCTTGAAAGCTCCAGAAAATAAATAATATCTCTATCTAAGTACTAGATGTTTAAGTGTCCTACCTGTTGTGTAATTTATCCGTTACATCCTATTTTACTTGTCCAGAGGGTTCGAAAATATTTTTAAATCGAAGTTTCATTTGAAAAGGTTTACGTTAGACGTTTCAAACCATTATGTTGAATTTTTCAAATTTTTTAAATAAGGTGTGTTAAGATGAAATTTGTATCGTCAATTAATTGAAATATTCTAAATAAGTACAATTTGTTGACCAGAATAAAGATTGGGACATATTATTCAGTTACCACAAGAGTGGTATTGAGCCTTTAATATATTGCAAGTCAAGACATATATGAGATTTTTTGTGTCACAATTCGTATTGTCGTTGACACTAAACGTAGAGTTATGAAAATTATATTTGTTATTTGGCGTAATATGGTCGCAACACTTACATCGAAGATCCGCGCATTTAGATACATAAAAGCCGGTCCTTGTGATAGATGAATTGAATTTTGCTTTGGTTAGGAGGCGTTTGAGATTAGGTGGCTGTCTTTGTGATTTAATGAATTGAACATTATCAAATTTCGTTCTGAGGTTGTCGTTTGATGCCAGGATTTGCCCTGCTCTCTTACATTGTTTATATATATAACCCTATACCTACAGACTTTTTAACACTTTTAACCAACTGACGAAATACATGTTGTTATAGATGAATGTAAATGTATCGTGGTGTAAATATTTGATGCTATATTTAAATTCTGTGAATAAACATTTTACAAGAAAAATAAAACAGTGATGTCAGTGAAGATATTAATTGTGGTCCGGAAATGATTATCTCCCTTTGTTCAAGAATGGTCTCAGACTAGTAGTTATTTCCCCTGATTTCATGATTGAGTGCGAGTTATAAATAAACAATTTTTCCCTTAATGTTTTTGTCCCCTCTTCCTGCATTTTAGGGTTGACTTTTTGGTCAAGAATTGGAGAAAAGGGATCAAATTTGCAATTTCATAGCAGTTATAGGTAATACTGATAATATGACAGCGGAGGGATAGGGGGTGTAAAATGTCTTTCTGCAGAGCAATCATTGAGCGGAAGTGAGATTTTCACCCCAGTCAAATCGAAATGGTCAACCCCCTACAAAGATTGCCATATATGGTCCCATTGTGCCTATAAGATTGGAAACTATGGAATGGACAATGGGCAAATAATTGCTAGTCTGAGCCCTAATGTGATTGTGTTTGTCTCCCTTCTATTACAGCCGCCTATTCCCATAGCGAAAATCTTATGTTGCAGGTCCCTTTCCCATTTCCGACAAAACGTCGAATTTTCGAGTTTCCAACCTTTGCTTCCAACAATCAACTTCAGATGTCTCCAAAAACACTTCTTAAACAGATCCCCGACCCTTCCTCATTCCCTGTATTCATGGGCTGGAATAGCAAGAAAACGCATTTGAGGGCCGTCAAATTTCCCAAAGTCATGGTGTGGTGGTGGCAGTGAGGGGGAAGGGGATTATAGGGTAAGCCACGCTCCCTCTCTTCTCGTAGGCAACTTCAGATGTCTCCAAAAACATTTGAGGGCTGTCAGATTTCCCAAAATTATGTGGTAGGTGGGGGGGGGGGGGGTTATACGGTAAGCCACGCTCCTTCTCTTCTCGTAGGCGACCAGAGCCACCGTTCGTTACCCGCAATTTGTTCGGGCATCTCAAATTCTGCCCCCCCCCCCCCCCAATATTGCAACGTGAGGTAAACAAATTAAACAACAAATAGACAATAATCTTGGTTACATTTTAATATCTTGTACTTGTTAGTTTATCTGGTTTTTATGAAGAAGTACAGATGAATTTATTGTGTTTCTTGGTTTAGATGAATATAATTTATAAAGAAAGAACAAAATAGCATTTAATTATTTTAAAGAAGTAGTTAAATATAACAATATACTTTATTATATTAAATCTTATAATAGTTTTTAAATATTACAATTTAGTTTATTGAATTTTATATATTAGTAGTTGATCAATCTGTGGATGTAACATAACTTGCTTCCTCACAATAAACAATATGATTCTCCACAGTAAATGACTGAAATATAATAAATTATTTATATAATACAAGCAACCATAGCGAAACTCGTTCCATCGAAAGGTCGGGTCAGAAAATGAAATTTTATAAGAAAATGAGATTCGTGGAAAAAGCAGTAAGTTAGTTTTACAGGTGAACATGTAAATAAATTATTTTAATGGATTGATACAGGTGTTTGACGGGGCCATCTTGGTTCAAGGTCATTGTTATTACGTCATTTTGACCAAACTTGATAATATCCAATATAAACTTGTGACGTGACATGACATGAAATGGGCTTTTATAGGAGATACTCATACAAATGTGTTTAGTAAATTTGCGTGACTTAATAGGAAATATTCTAGACATATTCTCCAGTATTAAAGGACATGACATGAGATTGGGATATGAACGACTATATGTTGTCCGTTGCTAGGGTCCCCGCCTTGCATCACTGACAAGGAGAAACCACGTGGGAAAAACCAGATGAAGTTATTCGGTCAACAGAGAGATCTTACAGGAGACCTCCAGATCAGCATTCTATCGTCTTAATTACTGAGCCACTGTGTCTACCCTATATTAATGGAGCTGAATCATCGAGGCTACCCTATATTAATGGAGCTGAATCACCGAGGCTACCCTATATTAATGGAGCTAAACCTGTAACTCAATATTTTTCAAACTATTCGAAATTAAAAACACAAATTCGTATCAAGTACTCGAGTCTTCTGTCTTATTTAAATAAAGATACATTAGTTAATTTCTATATTTACATGAACTGTATTTTTTTGTATAAACTCTATATTGTCCTTATCAGACATATAGAAGTAGATTTCACAAATTAAAGACAATTATATGGGTATACTACTTCTGAATTTATTAACATCCTACGTTTCGATACACATACAGATATCGTTATCAAGCAAATAATGATATATAACACTAATGAATTGCCGATAGTTTGATTGACAGACGATAACACCACCCAACTATTCTCAATTATCAAGTAACATTCTCAATGGCTACGGTACCCTCTTTTGTAGGAGTGACGTCAGTGTTTAACGATTAATGTTAGCTTGGTCAGCCATTTATTGGTTTAATTATTAAATGTACGACTGTTTAAATCCAAGCTGTATCCAAGCCATCCGAGGGTCTACAGGGTTGATTTTGATCTTGCCATGTAAATATAGGTCTAATAACATCGGAAGCCTAAAGAAAGACTTGCAACAGACAGATTTAGCTCTTAACTAATGTATCATTAAAAATGTTTATATATACACATTGAGTCATAGTGATGGTTATACAAATCAGGTCATATTGATAGGTGTTTATAAATAAAATAGTAAATATTTACCTGCACAGAATCCACCAATACATGGCCTACCATTACACTGAATGTCGTCACTGCATGGTCCTATAAATATAAGTAATATATTATTACACACGGGAGAATAAACTATCTCTACATAGATATAGTCCAGATAACAACCTGTCAACATCAATGATTAGGTCCTATCGGATCACGTGGCTAAGTGGATAAGACGCTGGCTCGCTAGCCTGGAGGTTTGGCCGAGAATGTTCATCCAGATTTTCCGGCGTGGTGCAGGACAGAGGGTCTGACAAGGACAGCTGTCTAGTCGTTCGGATGGGACGAAAAACCGAGGTCCCATGTACACATTGGCGTACACGTAAAAGATCCCTTGGCAGTTGGAATTGGATATAGGAGTAGGCCGTAGCGCCGCTGCCCGGGCAAAACTTTCCTCATAGCACAATGTATGGCGTATGCGCGTCCTCATTAGCCCAGGTTAGGAGCAGAACAATATGACGTTAAACCCCATTTCATTTCATTTCATTTCTAACACAGAACGCTTTATTTCAACCAGGGGGTTATGGTCAATAACTACTTGTATGGATAACAGGCCTTATATTCTATAAACGTGCGTTAGATGACTCGACCGACCAATCCCCTGTAGATTGTACAATATTTAGATTAAAAAACAGTTCTATTCTATAATATTTATCATTGACTTTAGTGTGTTAGTTAGTTATTTATTCTATAGTTTCAACAGACAGATAATATCTGATATATCTGAATGTTGGCTCTGAATTCGTTCAGATGGTGATCATATCCCTGACAGTAGTATTCATAATAAGCCAATATAAATTAGTTAGATTTACAGATTTCTTGTCATAGTATTTATAAAATTAATAAATAAATAACTCGAGTTGGTATAAATATATATAAATACATCGGGTGGATGTAAATGATCTACTGTCTATAATATAGATCATATTTACCGAGACAAACTCCACCTGAACAAGTGCCAGTAGTGATTGCGAAGCAAGGTGTATCATCATTCTGCTCATTACAGATATCTACATCTATAATAAAGATAATTTACAATATAGAATATGGTGTTTAAGATTTTCTTTCATCAGATAAAATTGTAACATAATCAGGCTGACAAATTACAAGATATGTCAAATCAGTCAACATAGGATAGTGTTACCAGGTGTTCCTCTTTCATCAGATTGACAAGATGCGTTATATCTATGTTATACTTACACCTGCACGTGTCAGTTACACAAGTTCTACCCTTAACACAGAATGTACCTTCCCCACATGGTTCACCTGAAACAATTGATAAATTAGTGTGATGGGTGTTACTACAATGCATATATTTCTGATTCTGATTTATTTATGGTTTCTTTCATCCAGACTTAAACATGAATATAGAGAAATAAACAATCAATGTATATCATCATCATTCATTTGATTATATAATTCCTAACATGCCAAATAAATTGTAAAATTATATAATGATGCTACAACTGGTATGTAAACCGTTTCTTGAGTGGTTCGTAGAATCAAGCTACGATCAAGTGCAGATAATCCCGTATATGGATCCAGAGGTTTATGGAGTAGAACGGAACGCTATCACTGGGGATACAGAGAATGCTCTCGCCGATGATTAAAGATGAATATAGCTGTGTATAGTTTGAGTTGTTACATATAGATATTAAATAATCAGTGTATATTAACTCCTAACATGCCAACATGAATATAGCTCAATTAAATATTGTCTAATTATGTAATATTGTAAGTTAGTAAAACAAACAACATACCAATAGGTACACAGGCGTTAAATATGCCGGTATCTGAACCCATTGAACCACAATTGTCATCTGAAATTAAAAAAAAACATGTATATAATATAAATTGAACGCCATATTAACGTATTATGACATGTCGGTAAATCATTTGTTGGTTGCTGACCGTGTCATACAGGAAGTCACGGATTGTGTTGGTGCTATCTGTATCCTCTGTTTTCAGACTGTTTCGTGAAATTGTTATGCAATTTATTAAGTCGTAGTTAAAATATCAACAGTTTGTAAATCTTGTGGAATCAGTAAGTCGAACAGCTCCCAAGATTTTAAGATTTTATGAGGTTTTGACAATGTTTTCATTAATTTTATGGAAATTGATCATCTTATGAACTTGAGTTAAAATTTGAACTGTTTATAAAGTAACGGGTAATAGTCTAATGACATATAACTGTTTGTATATTCGTTAGAAATAAATTCTGAGGAACGATAATACAATTTTAATCAACGAACAGATAACATGTTATACTTACTTTCGACTACACAAGTATCATCAATACACAATTCGTTGTTAGTTGTATTACAGGCTATACCTCCACAATTTGTGGCTGAATAATATAACCATATTACAGATGAGACAATTGCCAAATTATTTAAGATTTACGTATTTACCCATTTTGAAATAATTAAGTGAAATATGATAAAAAAAATTCATGGAATATGTCTAGTTAATTTGTAGATTAATACCCAGAGTGGATTTTAACTTTAATTTTATCAGTAAATAACAACATAATATTTATTTGAGTCGTATGTGAATAATAAATAACTGGATTTGTTATAAATGTAGCTGATAAAAGACTAGATATCTTACCATTGGTCTTACATCTTAAACTGACACACCTCGCTCCTACTCCTCTATCACTACACTCTGTCACGTTACATACTCTTACTGTAAAATAATTATAATATTGGTCAAGTTACATACTCTTACTGTATAATATTGGTAACATATTAGATGTGTTATATATTCAGCATGATTTAAGGCGAGGCCATCTGATAAGAGATCATTGCACTATGGACAATAGGTGAGGTCTAGTCTGATCATATGATTCACTGGTAGGTAACGTGTTTATTATAAAGACCAAAATCACAACAGATACTTACTGTTACAAGTAGTTCCACCAAAACCAAAGGTACAATTACAAACACCCTCACCTACACATTGTCCTCCGTTCATGCACTCCACGCTATCGCATGGATCTACTGAAAAACACAGTAATATTTACACATAAATCATATGATTCACTAGTAGATAAAGTAGTGTTAACTCTAAGACATAATCACAACAATACTTACTGTTGCATGTTGGTCCACTGTAACCAGATACGCATTCGCAAATACCACCTACACAGTTCCCCCCGTTCAAACATTCCACGCTATCGCATGGATCTACTGAAAAACACAGTAATATTTACACATTACAGTAACTATGTATAATTGACATTATGAGGAGAATATCACAGCGTAATCCACGGCAATGTGTACATAGACTGATTATTTAACATTTAACTACGAAAACAAAATCAAAACAACAAGGCTAGATAATCTACGGGCCCGGATGTAAAACTGACCCATCAATTTGGTTCACCAAGTAGCATACATGTTCAATGCGTCTGTTTAAATATTGAACGGAATTGAACCATTTGTGCAAAAGCGTTTTATAGCTAAGGTGCTGGAGGCGCCAGCCTCCTCGCGAAAAAACCCAAAGAAGTTGAAAACATAAAACGGGAGGAAAATGCTAAAATCGATGAGAAAAATGAAAATGTATCCTAGTTAGGGAGGGCCCTAAAGGCAGACAAAAGGGCCCAACGTCTGACAAAAGGGCCCCCCTGGCCAAGGGAAAGGGCACCCGAGTCCGAGTCAATCGTTTTCTATACACTGTTACTGTCGAGTTCACTACTGAATGAGAATACAGTCATTGCATTGGCATGAAAATCATCAATCAAGAAATCGCCTTTTCTGAAAACCTATTAATAAGCTTTCTTCAAATATTATTTGAAATCCACCATATTCCATTAATTATTATTTGATTGAGCTCCCGGTGATTTGTGTCGCAATCAGGCTTCAGACGAGTATCGAATTAGGCCCCGGCCCTCAGATTAAACCTGCCTCGAGGGGCCTGGAGGATATGTCAGAATGCACCAAAATGTTTTCTATTTTGCAAAATTTCTCGACCTCCGGTGGCCGGGGACAGAGACCCCCCCACCTCAAAATAGTATAGCCTCTGCCATGATAAACCTTAAAACGCCCCTGCATTTGTGGGCTGGTATTAATATGCGAGATTCATGTTTAAGGGAGGGACTCTATAGCACCTAAAACATGTTTACACGGGGTGATATAGCAGATAAAACATGTTTACAAGGGTGGATATAGCAGCTAAAACATGATTCTATAGTTCTAAAACATGTTTACACGGGGTGATATAGCAGATAAAACATGTTTACAAGGGTGGATATAGCAGCTAAAACATGATTCTATAGTTCTAAAACATGTTTACAGGGGGTGATATAGCAGATAAAAGATGTTTACATGGGATTCTATATCGCATACAGATAGTCTTTAAATATAAAACGATTTTGATGAAAAAAAAATCCGCTTCAGTGGCGTTTACACGTCTTTAAATCCTAACTATTTAATGGCGAGAAGCGGGAAACGTTTTGATGGAGAGAGGCCAGAAACGGTGAATTGTGTCAGACATGATAACAGTGCAAGACGCTTTAATTATAGGGCTTACTCGTTATCAGCATTACTGGTATTAACAGTTTCCCATTTCCAAACTGTGTCATTTTGGGACTAACATACGGTTCAATTTTACTTCAGTAATTAGCTTGTGCATAGTGGGTCTTTAGTAGTGGGAGGAACCCCGAGGACCCGAAAAAAACCCCACGAGGTTGGGTGGACAGGCGACCCAACTTCCTTAACCACGCGTTAACTTATGAACACAGGATTTTACAAATATATGACATAAACAGAACAGAGTAATGGGGTTCAACGTCCCCTCCATACAAACAACGGTCATCTCGGGACTAACACATGGTTCAATTTAACTTCTGTTATACGCCTCCGCGTAGATTGTCTTTACCAGTAGGAGGAAATAGGAATTATGATTCAGTACTGGGCCTTGACAATTTACTTTAAATTATTTTATCCCGACCTGCTCTCGTTCAACCATAAGAAGAATGATATGGTCGATCATAGGTCAACTACTGAGCATCCATTTCAGTAGCTATAGTTGAATTAGAGTTTATTGGAAATTATAAAGTTGATTTGAATATCATGAAGTGGAAAATAAAAATACATACCCGGACAACAACGACAGAGATCAAATTTTTCAACTGTATCACAATGTAAACTTCTTAGGCTAATTTCGGGTCGTCTCGGCGAGTTCCACCATCTTCCTCTGTGTGCCGTACAACTTGAAAAAGTAAGAGCCACCGCAAGATACACCAGCATTAAAGAAGTATACATATTGTAACTTGAAATTAAACGCTACTGGTGAGTGTTCTCTTTACGCGTCCTTTTAAACACAAGAGAGTTGTACCAGTCATCGATTGGAAAGAGAAAGATACCTGACCACCACGCCCACTGGGAGGAGCCAAGTATTACTATTGGTGGAGAGAAATATCTTATATTGATGACTATTGATTACGACGCACCATCATCATTATTCGTCCATAATCAATACTTTCACAACGCAGGGTTATCACGATTCATCCATACTCAATAATTAAAAAGGGAGGAGTTAAATATTATTATCGATTACGACGAATGGTAATCATGATTCATCAATGACGTGTATTGTTTGTATTTGTGGCTATAACGTGGATTTATTTCTACTGAGCGTGAAAACTGAAAATAAAAAATTAAAGGGTCCCCATTTTCCCTGTTGTTTTAGGTTTTTATTAGGTTTTTGTTGGTGAATTAGGACCCTTTTCATGTAATGAATATGAGCATGATGTTTTCTATATTTATTGATAAAGGAATTGTCAGATTTGGTATCAGTTGATATCGTCTGTGAGCGTCAAGGGGGTTTGGTGGCCGAATTGTTTAACGGTCTGTCATTGACTGGTTTCGAGTAGGGACGCCTGTCTAACCTCGTGGGCTTTCTCTGTGTCGAGTTTCCCCTCACAGCTAAAGATGCCACCCCCAATTGAATTATTGAAATAAAATTAAACCATATGGCAATCCCGAGGAATATCTCCCTCTCTCGCTCTCTCGTTTAGGATCATCCCACCATTATCAAGTAAATGGTAATACATATAATATACAACAGCAAGTGATTGTATAATTATAATAAATAAATATGAATGAAATGAATTGGGGTTTATCGTCCTGCATTGAATGCGTTAATGAAGACAGGCATGCTGTGAGGGGAACTTCGCCCGTAGATTGGTACTACGGCCTACTCTTGTATCGAATTTCAAGTATCAAGGGGTCTTTTACGTGCGCACCAATGATTGGTGTACTGAATGTCATTGAAAATACATTATGTAATATTAGATGAAGAGCTAACAATTCTCGCTATAATAGTTAAGAATTACTTCACTCTGAGCCGAATTATCGTCGTTAGAAGACCCTGATAATCTTTGTTGTTATTGCTACCGTTCTTACGATAATAAACAAAATTTCAATTATCCATTTAAACCTAATGAAAATCTAGTCGATGGCATAGAGAGTTGATTATGATCTCTTGGTAAGTTCATGAATATTGCACTGGACTAAAAAGTGTCAGGTTGTGGCACAATGTTTGGAGAAAACTGCGTGGGCTAAAATTTATAGAGATTTTTTTTTTAGTTCAAGATCCAGCATCAAATTCATTTCCACTAGGTCCAGATTAAGTGGGGTGCTGATCGGGCTTCGACAGGGATCCAATGTTAAAAAGGCTCCCAAATTGTAGATCTAATGTGCCAAATAAATCAATCAATCATACTGGTATACAAATTGTATTTGTGTGTGTGACAGACAATGACCAGAGTATGTCCGTATTTCACTGTTGGTCCAAGCTCAATCCGACCTCAATTTCCACGGATGTCTTCTAGAATAGATTTCACAGCCGGATTAATATTTTCATAACAATCAGATTCAGTTTTATTTATTTACCTATTTTCTTTTCCAAGTCCAATATCCTGTGGAACTATTATGCTAAAAAAAACACCACAGACCCAAAACACTATGGAACACTTGTGTTGAAAAGTCCACCACAAATGCACCCAAACCTTGCCACAAATGAAATGAATTTAGTAAAATGTAAATACAATTCGAAAATTGCCATGGGAACGTTTTTAGCGGTTAGTATATTCAAGACCAATACGCTAACCGTATACCATGAACCCTATAGTCATTTATTCTGTCACCAGTAACTTTCTAGGTCAGGTTTACAGTAAACTTTGTACACTAGTGCCACTCCCCGGTGTCTAAATCTAGAGCGTCTCCTCGTCCATTAGTGAACAGGGGGGGGGGGGGTGGATGGCTGAATGGTTAGCACGTGCGTGCTGTATCATAAAATCTGTCATTGAGTCAACTGGCGTGGTTTCGAATCCCCGGTTATACGTGACAAGGAGTAGGGTCGCCTGTCCAACTTAGTGGGTTTTCTTCAGGTCCTCCGGTTTCCTCCCACTGCTAAAGACCCCCATGCGCAAGCGAATTATGGAAATAAAATTGAACCATATGTGCGTCCCGAAATGACCTAGTTTGTGTCGAGTGGACGCTAAACCCCATTTCTCTCTCTCCCCATTAGTGAACAGAATCAATATGAATGTTGTTAGGTACCCTTTGTAAGGAATACCAGTCCCTGTTGATGATTGCCTTTCTTTACTCGCTTGGTAAAGGCCGTTTGGTTCTTGGCTGTTTGATTGTTACTTTAAGGGGTGATACGTTCTAACAAGAGTTACCAGAGTGGTCGATTGGATTAGTAGAATTCAGATGTTTAGTGATGACTTGGGCCAATTCATTGATTGTTATATATGCCAACAAGACTCAAGTATAGGACATAATACTCAGCTGAGAAATGTGAGGAAAGGAAGATATTTTAAATGTTAAACTGCATGAAATAAATATTGCATCATAAACTTATTGATTATTTGAAAATATCAAACTGAATTTAACATGCAATTTTACATGTATTTACTTGTATTTTGTTAAATTAAAACAACAATATGTTACCAACCCACGTACTTTGATTCTGTTTACGTCAACGTTGAATCATACTGGTGAAATTTTCCATACACAATTTCAATTATTATTTCAGAATTTGATTTTTTTAATCTCTGTTTAATGTCCTTTCTGTGGTTAAACGAAGGGCCTACTTTCCGTAGTAGATTGACATACGCCATGTAGTGTGCCCTCTAATTCCAACTGGCAAGGGCTCTTCTACATGCACGCCAACAGGGGCCTCGATAACCTGTCCCATCCGAATGACTGTACGTCATACATTGCCAGGCTCTCTGTCCTACGCTAATAACAAGAGGAAACCACAACGGAAAATCCTGTGGTACTATCTCGGCTAACCCTGAGCTCGAATCTATAATCCATCTTTATTGTAGGATAGGGCGTAAAATTCCGTTTCAAAACAAGGAGGATTGATAGATGATGCATGTACAGTCATTGAACGCGATTGGTTTTTAGTATCTCTGGATTCGGTTGAAACAAGGAATGTGCAGTAGGAACACAGGGCACACTATTGTCATTAGGGCAATGGGAAAATGTTGACCCTGAGGTCGTGTTTGACAAAACACAAGCTGTTCGAATCGTGGAATGTACCGTTTATGTTGGCCGTCATCAACAAGTTGTATAACGTTATAGTTAATGTGAAATAATGGATGGGCATTATTACTATTCGTGTTCTGTTTTGCATACAACTACTGCACTCCGCGGTTTTTCGTATCATTTGAGGACCCGCGCAAATTATTTGTTTCTTCTATCCCCCTATATCTTAGAAACTCACCCACAATCACAAAACAATCAACACTGAAAATAAATCTACTCTGGGATAATCTTTTACTAGAAGTTCATGTGACAACATTTACAGTCATCCCTAATATTTAAGCCCTACTGACAAGCAATCATATTCATTTGGGTTTTAAAACATGGATAACTTCCAATTTATTCTATACCGACTCCCCGGTTCATAAATGTAGTTATGACGGCAACCCAACATAAAGTAAAGAAATTGGGTCTTAAATAATATTACGTATTAGGATCTAAAGTTCTGCATGTCGCTTAGATAATTAATTCGTTCAAACGAGAGAATAACTAGATTCGATCTCGTTCAAACGGACCTTCGCAAAAACAGGGGATAGCAATATATATAATATTTAACGTCAGCGATTATGATACAATTCAAATATAAAAATCAATAATAAAACCATATATTTTGAATAACATATTCCCGACGTACGTGCCTGAAGATATCAACGAGTTAGCTGAATATGGATGATATTATTCTGTCTTTAAAAACGGTTATGTCTTTCCTGATGGTGCTATCAAGCTTGACAAGTCATATATTGGGCGTACCCACAGAGTTGGTGACAAACAGGGCTAGTTTCACAGAGATATCACAGTACGCGTTGTTAGTTATCGTGATAGGGTTTCAGTACATGCAAATAAAAAGAACCCGAAAGAGTAAAATATTAAGCACAATATAAATTATATATAAATGAAGCACTAACTAAAACCAACTCAGCATTGTACAAAAAACGCGATCTCTTTAAAGTTATAAACAAACGGTAAATCTCTTTGATTTTTGGGGTATATTCTATGCCCGGAATTACTTGTGGACTGAAAGTCATTGGCCGCTTTGGATATATACAGGGAAATTTGGGGTTATTCTTCTGAAAGTTTTTCTCTGCACCTGCAACAAGTTATTCTTCCAGGGTAGGTTTTTATTTTCTATAAGAAAACATGTTATAAGGTTTTTCATACTGGAATTCTGGGATGTTCTCATTTTACGTACATGTAAACATAGACGGTTTATAAGCAAGATAAAGTCCTCGTGCTTTATTCTACACATACGTTTATCAAAAACTGTTGGACCTATGATGGGAAAGATATTTGTTGGTAGTTTTGACGGCCGAAAACATCTCATTACACGCGAAGATGTAATGCTACCATTCAGAAACAGGGTTAACCTCAGGGGGCAAGAATAGACTTTAAACCCAGGAACTTGAGATCTCTTATCATAAGGAAAGGAGAAGTTTCGCGGCAGTACAGTCCTGTAATCCAGACTGAAAACATTCCATCCATCATTGAGAATTCAAACAGGTACCTAGGCAAATGGTTTGATGAAAGGAGCTAAATCGCTAATACATGTAATTGGGACCTCGAAATTGACACAAACGGGTCGCAACGCATATACTAATGTAATCTGAATGTATATAAACTGATTTACATTCAATTGTTTCCGTTTTGAATACTATTTCAAATCAGTTGTGTTTTTGTGAAATACGCCTGATGTCTCAATCTAATTGCAATCTCTAGCGTCTGGTTATTCCAGTCTATATGTTCTCCAGATATGATGATGTCACCGTTTGG